GAAAAGTAATATTCAAACTCATAATAGCCTCTATAGGTAATATATCCTAAAACGCAGTAGATATAGGCTTCTAGATAATAGCCAATACAGTAAGGGTGCAATCCAGTACTCAAGATACACTAGCTGAGGGACTGCAGTAGGCGTAGCCAATGCAATGCCCTCCAGATATTGTTGGGCTCTGTCTCCGATCACCCCTGGCTGACTTGGGCTGATGGGAATCCAACAATATCTGGAGGGCACCATGTTGGCTACCCCTGAGAAGCCCCACTACACTGGCAAAACATGGTATGTTGGTGTCATGCAAGATACACCTGTGCAGCTGTGCTGATGGTGTGCCTGTTGCACCACCATGACTCTGCTGGAGTAGCATCCAAAATGAGATTGGACAGGACAAAGGAGGAGTAGACTTAAGTTGAAGTTCTATGTATCCTCAGATCCCGAACACAGTGGAACTCTGTATCAAACACAAAGCTTGTGTAAGGAAAATTCTCCCTTTCAATTTAATAGAAAAATTAAAAAGGCACTGCCTCCCAACTCTTGCCCCAACCGCCCCGCCCCATGTTGCCATGACCAAGAACTGGATTTGCCATTAGTCTGCAGCCAACAACAGCACACCAACACTTGGATATAACTCCACAACAAGGGAGCTATAACTCAGACAAAAGGGTACATGGCTGAATCACTCTGGCCTAACGTCATGTACTAAGAACATACAAGAGGTCTCTGAGGAAGTAACCAGTGCACAAAACAGCCCGCCAGCTAAACACACATGAAAATAGCATTTTGCTGACACTGCTCTTCCTAGAACCCTCACAGGTAGCCTGCCTCAGGTCTCCAGACACCTCTGACCACTCATCTAACATGGTGATGTTGCAATGAGGTCATGAAGATGACATGTTGTAAAGATGACCTGGCAACCACAGATCGTACAACATTCCTACAATAGGGAAGCAACAGCAGAGTACTCTATGCAGGTCAGTGAAGGGAGGAGGAAATCCGGCTACAAATTGTCTCCCATATTTCCTCCCCCAACCAGCTGCATGTGAAATCTGTGTCTTGCCTCAACTGTACTTAAACCTTCTTCGCCATCAGCTGGGAGCAGTCTTCCCCACATGCAGATAGGTTCTCTGTCGATCAAGGCCAGGAATTCCAGTTCAACCTCTGCCACTTCTGGTCAAACATGCATGAGCGTTTTTCCCTTACTGAATCACAGCCAAGGTGCACAGAGCAGGGCAAAGGAGCATAAGAGTTCCACCACAGTCCTATGCAGGAAGATCTAAACATCTCATTGGTCACTGCAGTTTCTTCCCCACTCCAGGATGGGGCGGGGAGGTTGAGCCCCAACCATTGACAGAGCACTCAAGTAGCAGCAATCATTCTTCTCTCTCCCTTCCTCACACCTACTCTGCTCCTACATCCAGGGAAGATGAGTTCCAACTTCTGACAACGGCTTCTCCCTCCCTCCCTTTTGCTCTGCACAGTTGTGTGCACACCACAAGGGAGACCCACCCTATGGCCTGTAGCAGTGACCAAAACACCCCACAAATGTTCTTCTGTAGGGTTACCACTCCTGTCAAGCTCCATATCTAACAGTTGATGTCTGTGTGCACAACATGGGTGTGCAGCCGAGAGGGGCAAATCCATCGGCCGCTCTTGCTGCCTGCCATTTGATGGTCAAAGGGACAGAAAACCTGACAAGCCCCTACATGTGTCTATTTTACTTCCAGAACTCACTCCATCCCTGATGCTATTCAATAAGGCTCTAATTTTGCTACATCTGCTGTTTCTTTGCTACAAGGGATTGGCAGATATGGGCCAATGGTGGGTTTTCTTCCCATAGTGGGTCATGATCCCTTGTCCCAAGGGAGATGTTTGGGTGCTATATGCCCTCTCCTTCCTTCACACACACATAGTACTTTGTGAGAAATGTATGGCATAAGGGAAACCAAACATCTGCCTAGAGCTCCTGGCTGCTGGTCTCTTCCTGTCTGTGCCACAGCATCTTACACTGTGGAAGGCGTTGTGGAATCATTGTAACTGGCAGGTTGTGTGTGGGATGTGATGATGCCTTCCTGTTAGCATTGGTGGACTGGGGCCTCCCATTTCTGGCCATGTAATTTCCACAACTTCATGCCATGTCATTTTTACAACAACACCACATTGATTAGGGCAGGCGGGCACTGGTGTGTTGCCATGGGTGCTGGGAGTGTGGCTGCCACTGTTGCTCTTCTCTGATTTTTGGAGCCACATTTTCCTCCCACCTCTCCATTCTCTGGGATGGATGGATGCAGGACAGGGTGGCTGTTGTGCCAGAGTAGTGGTAGAATATGTCTCCCCTTTTGGCATTCTCAGGGGTTAAGTTCCTGTGAAAATGTATTCACACATCTTTCAAAAACATACAGCAACTAAAAGCTCCATGAAGCACATGGGGACAAGCATGCCTTTTCAATCCACTTTAGGATCTAGTGACAATTTCACAAGAGTTCACAGATGAATAAAGTCACCTACACCATACCACTGTTGATTAAAAAGGCATTTAAAACGTGCCCGTCCCTGGTTTGGACTCCTGATGGCAGTTGGATTGCTAACACAGGATTAGTAGCCTAGGAAAGAAAATCTTTCCACATGCAGAATGACCCACATTTCCAGCTCACAGCCAGCATATAGGTTGCTTTTCCTGTTAATGGGTGATTTTACCCCCCTGCTGTGAGGAAAATGTTATGTTAAGGTCAAAAACTAGAACATGTGCAACTGCAGGGATTTAAGCAGATAGTCTGTTTAGGAGCAAAGTCACAGGAGAAACAAGAAGAGGATTCAAAGTATTACTTTGTTCTAGCCTTTGCTCTAAGTGGGTGGGTGGGTGAAAATCTAGCAACAGATTTAAAGGGAAAGAGGGCCATAAATAACTAAATATGAACAGGTCAACTGTTAACCAAGGCTGTGGGTATGTTAACATTTTGTACCAGAAAAATTTGAATTTTATACCTACTATAAGTTATTCTAATTAAGCAATTGAAGTTATTTTATCATTATCATTATTATTTATTTATTAAATTTATATACCACCCTTCATCAGGAGAACTCAGGGTGGTTCACAAGATAAAAATACAGGATAAAAGGATAAAATAAATAGTTAAAACAAAAACAGAACAATATCCACCCCCTCCCCCAAGTTATTTGCTTCTGCTAGTTGAGACTTAACCAGCAATGCAAGGAACTGATGTCCCATCCCATGGCCATTGCAAATTCCACCAACTCAGGTCTGGCTCCAGAGCTAAGGACTGGAAGTTTACTCTAAACACATATACAGCAAAGAATTCAGGGTGCTGAACTGTGCGCCCAGCACAGAGAATGAGCATGTTGTAATGTACCTGTTCCTAAGCATGGTGTGAATTCTCTCACCATGAAACACATTTTGTTCTTGAGCCAGAGAATTTACACCATACACAGAAACTGTGCCCTTATAATTCCACACAGCATGCGTCAATCATGACTGAAGCTACATGTCTGTCAACGCTGAGGTCAGCACCTGACAGAAGAACAGGATTAGCCATGTAATGCATTTTAAATCTTTTCCCTCTGTCAGATGCCTAGCTTTGTATTGATAGGCATGTGCAGTTTCAGTCATGACTAACATATAAGTGTTGACATACAGTAGACCTGCAGCTTACTCATGATTTACTTATGTGATTGCAACTCTGGGCGAGTGGCAGGAAACTAAATAAAAATGGAGCGCGGAGGAGAAATGTTTGTTTACATGACAACTTATTTCACAACAGAGTTTTCTTTGACCCATCTTAATATGCCTGTTTAATAAAAAAATATAATTATGCAGTCACATATTAATACAGTAGACTTGGGAGTTATTATTTATTTTAATTATTTTATTTTATTTATGCTGCCCTTTATCTGAGGATCACAGGGCAGTTTACAATATAAAAGCACAAAAATACGCAACATAGCAACAAACATAAACAATACTGGGCCCTTCAACCATTTTTGGTCCAAGTAGCTAACATCTAGGAGTTCTGATAGGAGCTTGGCAGCTCTGGTCAGCCTTCTTTCCAGTTACGGTCCTTTTTTTTATAGAAGCAGCAGCAAGAAGAAATTGTGAGCTACATCCAATTCTCTTGTGGCCTGATGAGTACAGCAACTTGACTGCTGTTGAGATAAAGGCATAATACTGCCATAGTTTAAGCTAGAGGGAACAAAGCAAGTATAGGCCCAAGTTCATACTGACTTGTATTAATATTACTGCTTGTAATACCACCCTTTTAAAAGGTTTGGTCTTGGCTACAGCTCAAGAACTTAACCATAAGGCCAGGTTCAGATATGATGCTAGGCCAAACCTTGGATTAGTGTAGTGTGGAGCAGGAGCAAAAAAGACCAGGGTGGAGCAAGATGACCTCTGCAGTCTTGGGAAGCCATTGCTGTGTTGTGCAAACAAGGCCACGGTGTCAAATACATGAGATTTCTATTTTCAATATTTTTTAATATAAAAACGGTATCACTTCAAAGCAAGATACTATTAATATATGACAGCACTTTAAAAGGGGCGGATTTTGAGATGATGCAAGAGAGCCAAACAAAAATACCGAAGAGTTATACAGAAAGGTGTTTCAGGGAGCATGACTGTAAACTGAATTTAAGTACATAACAGGTATTTCCTAATACTCACTAGAGTTCTATGTCCATCCCACTGCACATGCAGTAGAGTAATCAAGTTCTAGTCTCTCTTATTTTAGTAGCAGTTTTCGGCTACATGTTATAATCAAGTTTAAATAAGCCTTCTCGTTGAGTTATTTTGTAGCTTGATAATCTAACATTCTATCTGCACTGGATCTCTAGTATCTGATTAAGAAGAGCTGAATGCTTCATCTATCAGTAAAGCAGAGTTGTTCTACTGTCAATCGTACTTTGGGAATAGAATCATAGACTTGTAGAATTGGAAGAGACCACGAGGGTCATCTAGTCCAACCCCCTGCAATCCAGGAATCTTTTGTCCAACGTGGGGCTTGAACCCACAAAGCTGAGATAAAGAGTCTTATGCTCTACTGACTGAGCTATCCCAGGAAGATTGCATCAGTATTTAATGAAACATGCCCTAGCAAGCATGCCACTCAATGTCTCAGTTGCTCAGAAAAAGCTGGTTGGAGCCTTGGATCAACAATGAAGTCATTTCCATTACAAATGAGCACTGAGCTAAAACAGAGAGCCATCAATATATTGATTGGCAGGCAAAGTCTGCCAGGAGGTAATACAGTAAAAGGGCAAGTATCCTTAAGAAGAGGCTCTACTTCTCTTAAATGTTTTACAAAAACCCTCTCTTGAGGACATTTCTACAATCAGCTATAAGCAGAGGGAAGAAAACATCTGTCAAAGCAAGACAGCTTGATTTTTTTATTAAATAAACTAATTAGTTTATTAGTTTATCATTATTATCAATGAATTAAATTCAAATACAAATCAAGTGTAGAATCATATTTGAGAGCAATATAAACCAATTCACTAAGCACAGCTGCATGAAACATTTTGAATTTTTAAATTATCTGAGTTAAGACTATACTTTAGTACATTTATATCCCATCTTCCACAGAGCTGAAGGTGTGGGCAGTTTTCTTTATCCTCATGTCCAGCCTGTGAAGTGAACAAGAATGAGAGATAGTGACAGGCCCAATGAGCTTCAGGGCTGACATGGGGTTTGAACCTGGGACACAGGCTAAAAACTCTGACCACTACACCAGATTAGGTTGGGATCTGAAACAAAACTATTGAATCCGAGGTCTGCATTCAGACAGCACTTTATTCCTTTTTCCTGATGTTGCCTTACCTGTTCATGCTTAGAACAGAGTGGTCCTTTTTGGTGGCCCTGTTAAGTATCAAAGGAGCGTCACTAGTGGCAACAGCCATTCTCTTCCATTTTATCTCTATGCTCCTTCTACAAATCCAAGTGAAAAGCATAACATTGGCTGTGTGGGGGCAGTGCTGTGGAGGAAATCCTGTCTCTCAATTGGTTAGTGCCAGGCTGACAGCCAATGGGTGCAAAGAGAGGACGGCCCCCGTATAGGCAGAGGCAAGGTGCAATTGGCTAAGGTCTGAGGAGCGGGGGTTGACTCTCAACAAGAGCATGATGACTTGAATTCAAGGTAATGGTGAGGCTTTGGTGCTTATCATTAGTTTTTCTTTCTCGTCAGTGTTGGGCACCATGGCGGTGGCTGCGGCGACAGAGGTGAGTCCCGTGTATGTTTGACGCGCAGCTGGAAACTGCTGCATGTCAGCGGCCACAGCGCAAGGTGCAGGGAATGAAGACATTTGCCTTGGCGGCTATCGGCAGCCCCACAGGAATCTCATCAGGGTGCTAGAACTACAACTCCCAGTGTGAATTACAATTAAACTCAAGTGCCCCCTCCCAAAGTGCCTTTGGAATGTGTGCGTGCTCTCCCTATGTTTTAATTATATGTTTTATTTGAAATTTATTAATTGCATTTATATTACACTGTTTCCTCCAAGGAGCCCAAGGTGATGTACATAGTTCTAAAATTCTTCTTCTTCTTCTTCTTCTTCTTCTTCTTCTTCTTCTTCTTCTTCCTCCTCCTCCTCCTCTATACCCTGCTTTTTTATCCTGACAGGGACTTAATGTCTGTGTTATTAACAAAAATGCATACATGTGTTTGTGTCTAAATATTGTTTAATAAATCATAAAACTAGAAAGTTGGAAAGGATCTTGAGGATCATCTAGTCCAACCCTCTGCAGTGCAGGAATATGCAGCTGGGATATCAGGGATCGAGCCTGCAACCTTGACATTATCAGTATTGTGCTCTAACCAACTGAGCTACCTCAATTTCTTAAATAAATATATTAAATCTATTAATTGTGTGCATATATATATATAGATAGATAGATAGATAGATAGATTGTGTATATTAAGTAATATATTGCAAACACTTTAATTTATGCTATGGAAATTTAATTCAGCGTGTGGCCTGCGGGTTCTGTGTTGAAGTACTTTTGCAGCCCACTTGGTCTGAGAGGTTAGACCACCCTGGTTTAGAAGGAGCAAACAAACTAGGTTATGTAGGAAACAGCCCTCCCCAACTCTTTATCCTCAGCAGTCAACATTTAGAGGTATACCAACACTGAACCTGGAGCTTGCATTTACTTGTTTGAAATAATAGCTACCTCCCTGAAGCTATCAAATCTTCATCTAAAACCTTTCCTTGGTTTAAAGCCATTAACAAACCTTGTGAAACTGAATTCCAGAAGTTCATTATTGTGATGAGCAGCACTTCCCTATACAGTAGTACCTCGGGTTAAGAACTTAATTCATTCTGGAGGTCCGTTCTTAACCTGAAACTGTTCTTAATCTGAGGTACCACTTTAGCTAATGGGGCTTCCTGCTGCTGCTGTGCTACCACCGCGCAATTTCTGTTCTCATCCTGAAGCAAAGTTATTAACCCGAGGTACTATTTCTGAGTTAGCGGAGTCTGTAACCTGAAGCGTCTGTAACCTGAGGTACCACTGTATCATCTTTATCATTACTGTGCACCCTACAACCAATTCCAACACCACAGAAGAATCCCAATGAAAAATGTTAGAATCCAAAGTCTGCACAAACTGGGCAGGAAAGATTGGCCAGCGGGGGTCTGTTCTGCACAGGGCTTCCTACAAAATGGCTTGGGAGTGGGGTTTGGTCTTGAGAAACTGCAATTGGAGACTGAAGGTGTACTGGTTCCTCTGCCGTTAATTAAATTTGATCAGCATGCTAAACAAAAGCATGGTTGTTTGTGTGGCATATTTCCATGGCAACCTCAATATTATAAAATTGTCTGTTCTTGCTTGTATGGAGACATAAGCAGGTCTGTGCCTAAGAAATGATTTTGCCACCAATGGGACAAAACGTACTGCATTTTCACATAGGTTTTTTCCACGTAATTTACTTGACTCCCAAAAGCAGAAGCAAGGGCAGGGGCAAAAGGATATCTGGAACAACAATGGAAAAAGGACATAGAGAGCAACACAGCCCTGCAGGACTGTTTCACAGGTCATGCTAAACCTTGCCTTCTGCAACCTGGACTCCTCCATTGGCCATGTGGGTTGGGACTAAACATCTTGAGGGCAGCAAGCTGGGGAAAACTGTGCTAAACTATGATTTAGTGCTACAGGTATGAACCTTGGGGTTCATGTGCTCCTTCTTCCCATCCCCACATGGCCATGAGATTGTAAATGCTCACTTCAGTTTTCGTGCATAGTTTTGTCTAAACTATGGCTTTCAACAACCAAACCAGTTTCATGGTTTACCTAAAACAGGCATGGGGACCCTCCAGAGCTCAGGCCAAATTAGGCCTGGCAGGGGTCTTATTATGGCCTGGTAAATTTACGTTTAAGGTTCTACTCACCTGTGGGCACTTTTATCAGACCCAGACCCAATTACAAATAAATTAGTTTAAAAAGCACCAACTGACCAAAGAGATTAGTTTTGCCCTCAAACAGTAGAGGCTGGAAGAGCCTTGGAGGTGAACTGGCTTGCTAGCCTGTAGACAGTGCAGAAGGTGAAAAAGATGGTTTCCCCCCACCTGTTGGCCCCACAGTCATGGGTGGGGCCAACAGGTGGGTCCAAAATACAGAATTATGTCAAAGCTAAATGATAGTTTTTGCCCTCTTGCTACCTAAGAAGAGGATGTGATGTGTAGAGGGGTTCATTGCTGAATCAGCTGAAATATAAGCCCTTGGACTAAGTGGCTATAGGAATGCTTCCATTCAATGATTATTGATCTCCTTTCAATCTACATTTCACAGGGAAATGGTACTGATCTGGAACATAGTGATTTGATATTCAAGCATTCCCCTGTGTTTAGGCAGCAACTGATAAAAGATGCTGACTCAACTGGAGAAAGGAAGCCCCTGAACGGAGATTTCTGAATTCCCCATAATGGAGACAAATCAAGGAAAGCGTGGGAGAATGAAGTGGTAAAGTTTTCCTTTTTGTGGGTTTTTACCCTAAGCCTTTAAACACACTTTGTATGCCTGCTAAAGCAGTTTCCGGTATCCATTGCTTCTCTAGTGGTTTGCTATGAGCTCATGTCTACTCTAAGAAAGCTTTGTTTTACCGCTATAGAATTAATAAGAGCACATGCTTAACAGAGACCCAAGGCCAGACATTTTTGAAAGGAGAACAATTATCACAATCTCTATAATTAATACAGGTCAGGAAAAAGAACTTCTTAAAAAGGTTTTATCGAGTCACAGAAAAAGCCTCAGAGTCAGGCAAACGGCTCCAGGGCACAGATCCAACAACCCTGACTGCTTGTCAAACAACAAGAAAACTAGTTTGTCTAGATACAACATTTATGGTCCCACACGACAAAGCGTCATTCACTAGTCTTGAGTAACAGGTTTTTACTCCCACCCACCCATGTAACGGGGGGGGGGGGAGAGATTTGGATCAGTATGTTGAAACAGCTGCTGCCCATAAAACAAACTACTTCATTCTTTCGTAGTTCTTGAAGCTTGGCTGACCAGATCAGGTTGGCACACTTGATTGTACCCCTGGAGCAAATTAGGAAATAACCTCTCCCCAAGTATCCTGTAACTGTTTATCAGAGGAGAGAGATACTTCAAATCTGTGCCGGTGTTAAAACAAATGCCTCAAACATTGCACTACATCCATGTTGGCTAAAGACACTAAGAAAATGTACAGATGTATCCCCATATTCATGAAAACAGAAGAAACAAGGCAAACCAGAGGTACAGCCTTACCTTTTTCCTCCACTGTTGCAGGCCAGGAATGAAAAGATCAGCCCCACTACCTGGCAAGGCTAGTCTATCACTGTGCAGTGGAATTCTCTAATCAGCTCAGCACAGCATTCCAGCCTCAGAGGATTATAGCAGGCAGACTGAAAGGTCACTCGGTATGGAGGAATTTCTTCACTGAAAACACTCAGAAGGAGCGATATTCTTCTTCAGCTCAGCTTTCCTTTCCTCCTCCAGTTCAGAGTCTCTGGCTGCCCCTCCTGGCTACCAATGCATCTAGAGGTGAGCTCAGCAACTCCCTGTGACTCTCTCCGGCTCTGCCTGCAATCAAGGAGGAAGCTCCTCCCAAAGATCTCACCCTTGTGAAACAAGCTACACAAGTCTAGCTCCACCCCACAGAGCCATTCCTCTGCTCAGGTGACTCTCAGATCCGGAGAAGCTGAGGATCTCTCGTACTGTTACACATCTTTTTCTTCCTTGGAAAGCTCAATGTGGAGTAATAACCTGTGAACTGGACAACATTCCTAGTCCAGCAATAAACCAAATGAATCAACAGGAAGGGGGAGGAGACAATTAAAGAGGATGACTCAACCACATATGGCAGCTCAAATGCATCGACCACACTAGGGAGTTGGAGTGAAATAATTTCTGTCCATATAGCTTTGTGGGGGAGGGAGTGCAGCAAAACAGACGGAATTGCTTTGCTACTTTCAAATGCAAGTTTCTCAGGATTCTGGACATCCCCCTCGTTTCAGTATAACTGGCACAGATGTGACATTCTCTCTCTCTCTCTCTCTCTCTCTCTCTCTCTCTCTCATGATGAGCATTAAAAGGATTTTCTTTTAATCCACAAATGATTTTCATATCTTAATACCGCTCTGTTTAAGCTACTAGGAAAATTGATCAAGGTTAATTGATTTAAGTACTGCTAACTTGTTTTGGGGGTGCCAATAAATAGATCTAGTATATATAACTAGATCAATTCCAAATGGATTTAAACAACCCTAACACAGCCTTTCTGCACAAGACAAAGGACATCTGGAATTTCCTGGAGTCCCATGAAATAGCAGTCCAGCTGTTTAGACATGTTCACTGTAAACATCAATACTGCTTGGCAGTTAACTCTTGCTAAAACAGACACATAACACAGAACAGCAACTGTTAAGCTATGCAAAAATTTGCAGATGATTAAAAGTGATGTTATTAAAGAAGAATATGAACTTCAGTTCATTAAGTGTGAAATATACTATTGTGTGGAATAAGAATTTGGATTTATTTAACAAGAATAATCTGTTTTGCTTAAACTCTCTAATTATACCAGCTTCTAATGACCATTTATATAAATAACCCTGTCATAAGCAATGCTGTTTTTGCCTCAGGCTATGTAGGCATTTCTTAAAGTTAGCATGTCACTTGCAAGTCTGCAGCCTACCATGTATGCAACCACTATGCAAATTCAATTCCTCAAAGTTAATGAAAATGTCTTGTGTACTAGATAGAACAGTCTTTGCCAACCTGGTGCACTATAGATGTTTTGGAGTACAAGTCCAATCAGCACATCAGGTTAGCAAAGACTGAGACAGTGAGACCTGGGTTCAAATCCCTCCTCAGCTGTGAAGCTCAAAGCCAAACTAAAGGCTACATGTAATAATAGTAATTTATTATTTATACCCCACGCATTTGCTGGGTTTCCCCAGCCACTCTAGGCGGCTTCCAGCAAAATATTAAAATACAGTAATTCATCAAATATTAAAAGCTTCCCTAAGCAGGGCTGCCTTCAGGTGTCTTCTAAAAGTCAGATATTTATTTCTTTGACATCTGGTGGGAGGGCATTCCACAGGGTGGGCACCACTACCGAGAAGGCCCTCTGTCTGGTTCCCTGTAATGTCACTTCTCACAGTGAGGGAACCACCAGAAGGCCCTTGGCGCTGGACCTCAGTGTCTGGGCAGAACGATGGGGGTGGAGACACTCCTTCAAATATACTGGACCGAGGCCATTTAGGGCTTTAAAGGTCAGCACCAACACTCTGAATTGTGCCCGGAAACGTACTGGGAGCTAATGTAGGTCTTTCAGGACCAGTGTTATGTG